GTTGTATCTTTTGTTAATAAAATATTGCATACAATTTCAAAATCGTTAAAAACGGGAGATAGAAATATGTTAGCTTATAGAAGTCTCAATAAATTAAATAGATTTATCAAAAATATCAAAAATCCTGTAGATATTGAACAAAAAACCGTAGTTTATAAGTTGCAATGTACTGATTGCGATGCTTCGCACGTGGCCCAGACTATGAGACAACTCAAGACTAAGGTTTACAAACACAAAAATCAAATTAATCGTCGCGTGGAGATCATTTCTGTAGTTACACAGCATAGAATTGACACTGACCTCAATTTCAATTGGCAAAATGTTAAAGTCTTGGACACAGATCTTCCTTTTTCAAGAAATCCATTTTCGAGATGATACACATCAAATTACAAAGCAATTCAATTAACGTCATGTCGGACACGGACAAGCTGAAACCATATTTTTCATTTTTAGAAAATTATAGGGCGACTTGATCTTCGTTCGGTTGGAGCGATGTGGTGGGGATGAGACCGTTACATGTATCTTGAACAGTGTTGCAAACTCTGGCCGGCTAGCACCGAGAGCACCGAGATGGTGGGAAACACTGGGAGCATGCATACAAACGAGAACCGCCGTCCGTGTGCGTGACGCAGTGTGCCCAGTTTTGACTCTCTTACAGCACACTGAAAAGGATACGCACACAGGCGAGCAGCCGTATACGTGTGCGCTTGACGCTTCGGCCGTCTTCGGGCGGTAGAAGAGAACAGAGATATGTCTACTGTCTCTTTCTTTTGACATAGCTATAACGTACGCGGCTAGCGCGAGCGGCTAAGCCTCGCGCTAGCAGCTGTTTATCATTTTTCGCCGTTTTTCCTCGTTTTCTTGACTTATTTACTTACAGAAACATTTCGATTAAATAAAAAAATATTAACACCATAAAAGAATAATTAGAAAAAAAACGTATGAGGAGCATAAATGAAAAGTGGAGAATATAAATCCACTCTTGGCCAATATGTACGTCTCTTTGTTTTGTTAATATACTTTTTACTTTGCACTTGCAATTACATATAATATACATTAAAAGAAAAAAAGTATTCTTGCACTGAGAATTTTATTGTATTTAAGTTTTAAAAATGAACTACGTACACATTGTTGCTCAACGGAAACCGCGAGAAGGTGGTGGTTTCTTCTGTCAAAAACAATGTAAAACATTTGTTTTGTTTAATATTGTAATAAATGTTTATATATGGGTAATTATCAAAAAACGTAATCTCCGTGGACTGTAATCTCCGTGGTATATTGACATAAAAAACATAGATAAGTTTTTTATATTGCATTGTCACGTATTCATATTACGAATGGTGACTTAAAATGGTATGAAAAAACATAATTCACCGCTATCCGTTAGTTAATAATAATTATTTTTTATCAAAACTGAAAGTTGAAATTTACGCGTTCACAGAGAATCACCCATATACGTTTTTTAGCATAAAAATTAATAATAATTGAAATAATTGAAATAATTCTACATGTAATAGTATAAAACAATGTTTCAATAAAAATATAAATAAATACAAATATATAAAAATTAATACACTTTTTACAAAACCCATTGTTGTGTATTTCCAAAAAAATATAGATAGAACAGAACAGGTAAAAGCTTAGATAGAAAGGATAGAAGTAGAAAAGATAGATGGAATAAGAAGATAGAAAAGAAGAAGAAATAGATAAGCAAAGAACAAATAGAATAGCTTAAAAAAATTGAAAAAATATCCCGGACAGCACAAACTTTTAAGTGACATCTTAAAAACATTCAAAGTGTGTCCTTAAAAATAGCACATTTTCCGGATATCTTTAGGACGTATTTTGCAGGTCTATGCTATCTGGGATAAGAAAAAGAATACAACATAAAAAAAGACGCGCAATATAGAGTGTTATGATTATTTTAAAGTCACTTTACACGAGTTACAATTGACAACAGAAGTCAAAACAAAAATATTTAAGAAATTAAAATGCATCTATAAATAAATAAATAAATAAATAAATTTATTTATACATATAAGTAAATAATTAGATAGATAGATAGATAGATACCGAGGAGCGGGGTGCTTGTGAGACCCTATTGTCACCTAGATCTATAAGATCCTTTGCGCGATTCCCGCTAGTTATTTATCAACCAAACTGCTTAAACCCGGCATTTGCTGCCAGGCTACACAGATGGCCGATTTTAATTATTTTCAGGTCCTCGGGCTCCACAAACATGGAGCCTAAAAATCTGAATCTCTTGAGTGCTAGAGACGGGCAGCGACACAATATGTGCACGCTGTCCTCTCTCTCTTTGCCACAAAATCTACACCTACTCTCCTCAACTAGGCCTAAGTTGAATAGATGTGCCTTGAAGGCCCAATGCCCCGTGAGAAGACCGATACACAGTCTTTGTCTGTACTTACTCATAGTCAGTAAGTAAATAATTAATATATGTACATATACACAGTTTGTCCGGAAAGTTCCCGGACT